TGTACATACATACACCTACAGAGTAATTCATTGTATCAAAAGATAAGCCATATTTACTCATAAGACATATTGAAGACTAGGCGGGGCTGTGCACACAGAGCTAATTATGAATCATTTGTTGATGCAGGTGAATATTGTGGTCAAAGGTATGATTGTGTACAGTGGTCAGTTTGACATGCTTATTTGTTCATATCTCTGCACAGCTTTTTTGTATTCAAGTCTAACATAGAAAGCTACAATTTTTTGTGCTGAGGTTTTCTTAATTAAGTTGTAATCAAGTGCGATCTTTGCAAAGCACACTGTGGCAGGCAGTCTCACAGGGAAACGAATATAGATGAATGTATAAATCCCTGCAGTTACCATTTTTGTTTTCTTTTGCATAACCCCAGTCCTTTTAAGGTTGCAGTGTTTGAGACAAGAAAAACATGTTTGTACATTTTATTTATATACGTTTTTGTAAAGTCATGTATTTAAAAAGAAATATGAATCAAAAGGACTAAAGAACAAAAAAGTATTGTTGTATATATGAACTTATTTTTGAATATTATAAATTTTGGTTCACAAGCTGACAGAACCAGTGCTTTGGAGTCTGTTGTGAAACGTGCTTCAAAATGGAGATTGTGTAAAACTGTCTTATTTCTTGCACCTATATTTATGTTCATTGCTAAGCTACAGGCCACAGCTGAGTCTGTCTAAACAGAAAAGGTAGAATTGTTTAGTGTGTTAACAATTATTATGGATCAGTAATGAAATATTTAGGAAAATTTAGATGTAGTGTACCTATGTTGCCTTGAAACAAGAAAAGACAGCATTTTAAGTGAAGGATGGGGAGCTATACCAGCTGGCAGTAGCTTTCCTGCCAGCTCTTGCACACTAGAATCAGGGCATGGACCACCTAGTGAATATACATCTTGCTTATAGTTTATTGTTCTAGAAATTCTCTGCATGAGTGTCCATTCTCCATACCTATCGCACAAATTTTCAGTGGTCAAAGGACATCTCTGCTGTTCAAATTACAAGCACATCTCTGCTGTTCAAATACTTCCAGAGACTTTGCCAGTGACAACATGAGGGCATCTTGTTTCCATGAAGAGACAAATAAGTATAGCTATGCAGAAGATTAATCACTACATTAAACTGATAAAATGTGTGTGGTATGTGTATCAATTTTCCACTTTCACCTTTGTTATGAAATTCTAACTAAATGCTGGTATTTGGCAAAAGCTGGTGTTTTAATGGGCCCAAGCACTAGTCTTTCTCAGTATGTTAATGAACACAAAGAGTAGTGGGTTAAAGAATGCTGTGTTGTTGCTGGCTAGCAGAAGTATGCTAGCAAATGCTTATCATTTGATCATGATTTTGACAAATAAGTGCTGGTGTTCTTTCTGAGCTGTTACAAAATTTCTGTACTGAGGAGGGAAGATCTCTTTTATAATGGAAATGTGTGTGTGTTCAGGATTTTAACTCTTGGCCTCAAAATTAAAGTTTATCCTAGTGGAAAGAACCTCTTCTTAAATATAAAATTTGAAATTGTCCCTGCAGTGGTTAAGTACAGAAAAATTGTTTTCTCTGACAAGGTTTTTTAAAAGCTTTCCTAGTACTTCTTTTGCCTCTTCAAAGTGGCATTAAGGCTGTGTGTTTAGTTAATTTTCTTCTAACTATTTAAAGGCATAGGATGCTTTTATTTATTACTGTTATTTAAGTAGATAATTTGTATCCTGCCCTTACGAGAGCCACCATGGTGGTTAACAATATAAAACATGCTAAAATTACATTTTAAAGCAGCTTTGTAACATTAGCATTTGTTAACCTTCATATCTTACTAAGGTTATAGACCTTAACACAGCAGCACCCGGCTACAATCAAATTCTCAAGTAGCTGGCCAGGGCACAGATAATCTAATACCGCAGGTGTGCTGGCTTTTTCTGGGGAGGGAACTTTGTAAAAATGTAATTTTACTTCATCTGTGTCTGCAAACAGGATAGACACGAATCAGGAAACTGTTTCAGGAATGTTGCATCTGACCAACTCTAGTGCCAGCTGTTTTAATAAGGAATGTTACAGAAAATAGCAGTCACATAGCTTGATTTGCATGAATGTCCCGGTGTCTATTTTTAGAATTCTGCAAAGCCTACTGATGCTATTGCATGGGCAAATACTACTGATTGGGAAGTCTGTAGTTTAGTAAAACTAAAGTACTGAAAGTAATCTCCTACTGCAGTGGCTGATAAGAACACTACAGTCAGTTCCATTTTAAAAATTCCACTAACAAAAGAGGATGTGCAGTTTTCACAGACTCCTCCTTGTGTTCTTTTTAAGGGGCACTATGTTGCTCAGAAACATTTCATTTTGGATGGAAGAAGATCCACTGACTAAAAGCCATCAGTGAGTATTTACTGTGGAATCTTAAGCCATTGGGTGGTCTGTATAAAATGTGTAAAAAGTTCTTATACCTTTTAAAATTTTATGTGACTCCTAGAGTCATCTTATTAAACCAGGCAACTCTATGCAACAAGTGGAAGAAGGTCCTCCCATCACCACTGAAGAGAGCTACACCAGTTATTTGCCTGGAAATGGGGATCTGTACTGACACAGAACAATACCTCTTGGACATCTCTAACCTCAGCACCGTATGATTGTGCAAATAGATTGTGATATGGCTTTTTGTGGGCACTAGAATATTGATTGTGGGGTACTGGGGAGATTTATTAGTAGCAGAAAATTGTCATGGTGTGTCTGTCCCAACTAACACCCCCTGGTTATGCAGTCCTCCACCAACTAGGCAGGGAGGAGGTGTGGCTATTATCCTCTGTGAGACCTTCAACTTCTGCACACTTCCAGTGCAAACTAACACTGGCATTGGGGTACTGGGGAGATTTATTAGTAGCAGTCGGGTGAAATCATTACCTGGAAAAGGACATTTGAACTATTCCAGTTCAAATGCGAGTTGGTAGATATGGGGGTGGGATTTATCATAGACGGCCAGTCTTTGGCAAAGATGGTCGCCGTCTGGCTAACCTCCATGGTTTCCCAAGAGTCGATGAAACAAAAGCCCCTATTTTTCCCACATCTACACTAATATTGTATGATACCAGATCAGTGAAGCACAAAACTGCACACCTCTATGAGATGCTGCAGGAAGAAGAAACTGTCCTGTCTTATATAATAGAAACATAGTTTGAAGAAAATTGTCATGGTGTGTCTGTCCCAACTAACACCCCCTGGTTATGCAGTCCTCCACCAACTAGGCAGGGAGGAGGTGTGGCTATTATCCTCTGTGAGACCTTCAACTTCTGCACACTTCCAGTGCAAACTAACACTGGCATTGACTGTATGCTTCTTACATTAGGGACTAAGGATAGATTAGGCATTCTTGTCTACTGGCCAGATAGTTCCCCAGTGGGCAAACTGTATGGGTTGGCAGAGGTGGTATTGGAGATTCCTAGACAGATCGTTCTGAGGGACCTGAACATTCATGCCAGTGATACCTCACAGGGACCAGGCTAGGACTTATAGCTTCTTTTTCTGCTTTGTGTCTCTCCCAAATTGTGACTGGCCCAACTGTTAGCAGTCAGACCCCTCCTCCCGCAGAAGGGTAGTTAGTGTCAAAGGAAAACACCATACAAATATCACCTCCAAAACTCATAACTATAAGTCACTGCTTGGCCTGAAATGTCACATAAAATGGATGCCAGCAAGAGTGAAACCAGAGACCTGGGAAAATATCTGTTTTTGGAAGGCAAAGACAGGTGATCAACCTCTCCCCACCCTTAAGGAGATGCATAATTAAGCAATAAAGGGGTTCCCAGGAAATCTTTGAACCTTCCTCCTGACCCTTTTACCCTAATTTGTAATAATTTAAAAACATGCATAAAAGCCTTGTAGTTTCCCATCCACCAATTGGAGGGTCATCAAGCAGTCATTTGCACCCCAGATACCGTCATCCAGAAAGATTTATAGTTTCCATCCACCTCAGGAAATCACATCTAGTTTCTCCCAGTTTTGTGATTATCTCTGGACAAGCCCATTAAGGTGTTGTTTTGGGGGTGATTGTGTTAGCATAGCAGCAGGGAACAATTTTCCTATAAAAAGCACACCCAGCCAGCTATCTGTGTGTGTGTTCTTGGCCACACACACCCATGGGTTCTCCTCTCTTCGCTCATTGAAATGCTGGCCATTTCACAGCTGTCTTCCACAGATCTCTTCATATAGATAGGTAAATATCACCTCTCCAAACTCTATTTCCTTGTTCCTCCCTTTAATTTTCTCTTAACTAGCTTGTGTATTTGCAAGTGTGTTCTGTTTAGGTGTTTTCCGGATTATTTTTCAACAAAACCACCTCCATTTGAACATCTGCCTGGGTATTTTAAGAATTCTCTAAGGGAACATCCTGGTATATATGGGTGGAGAACCCAAGTTATCCCCCTCTCACTTGTCTCCTTTAAGCTAATTTCCCTCAATCAATTAGGAGACCGCCTATTTGGGTGACACAACACATGAAAGGGATGATACCCTGGACTTAATCTTCTGCAGGGCTGGAGGTTCCTCCAGAACCATGGTCTGACCACTACCTACTTAAAGCCAAGGTGAATGTGGCTCCAACAACCTGCATAAGAGGGAGCCTGGTTAAAATGGTCTGCCCACAGAGGCTCATGAATCCTACTGGATTCAGATTTTGATTTCAAACGTGTTCTATTGAGGCTTCAGTGGAAATGTGGAACATGAAGCTCCTTGAAGCTATCAACAAGGTTGCCCCTTATTCACTTGGTTTTACGAACTTGCTTGGATAAATTATTAAGAATTGTGGTCTATACTGCTGTTTAGCTTATTGTAAGTAGGATCCTACTTATGTAATTTCTGTACCACTTAATGTGTCATGTGAAAACTTATGCCATGCTTCAGTTCTTTCTGGAGGTTCCAGACTTCTAAAATCCTAATGCACTGGTTTTTGAATGTCCCACTTTGTGGATTGTACTGACTGACTAGGTACAATCTGCCTTGAGTCCCTGTGAGAAAGGCAGACTATAAATAATGTAAATAAATATTCCACATACGGCTGCCCATGAAGGTGCTTATGAAACTTCAGCTCATAAATAATTTGGCTACAAGGATCTGCTTTTGGTTGCATTGAAAGGATCATCAATTGCCAGTCTTCTGTTGTGTCGCTGGCCCCTGCAATCGATGCACAACTGCTTCCAGAGTGGCTCCAGGCCCCGAGTGGCTCTTGGATGTTGCTGGCTGCTGGCTCTGTCAAATGAAGGGAAGTACATTGCCTGCATGTACGCAGACATCAGTCTTATTGGGGAGGTTTTAGTCCCCCTCGTATGTTTTTTTGCAGAACTGTTTCCCATCACCATGGGCCTGATTTTTGGATTCAGATACCCACAGGTCAGAATAGCCAAGGAATCTGCAAGGACTTGTGGAAGTGTATCTCATTTTCCCTTCCCTGAAAGCCCCCAGCCTTTCTACTTGCCCTGTTTCCTTCCCAACTAACAGCCAGCTTTCCTTTGTTTGCCTGTTTTCAGTTCACCCCCCTCCCCAGCCTCTACTTAGGAAAACTATGGCCCAGTTGTGTGGTACCAGCTGCTGAGCCAGGCCCACTTGCAGGGCAGGAAATCCTCATGGACTTGCAGGACGGAGGCACATCGCTTTCTTCTGTAGTTCTACCCACATTATTATCCCTTTCCTGCCTCTTGGCAACCCCCACATCCTCTCCCCTTTCCCTGCCTCACTCTCTCCTCAGCTCATTCACCAATCTGTTTTATCTGTCTCCCATATTCAGCTATACTTATTATTCATTTACTCCCTGCCTTTCTCCACAATGGGGGCCATTTCCCTCTCCTCTTTTTTATTCTCACAACAACCCTGTGAGGTACAGTTAAGATGAAAGCATGCAAGTGCCCCAACATCACCTAGTAAGGTTCCATAACAGATTGGCAATTTGAACCTGGGTCTCCCGGACCCTACTCTGAAACACTAACTGCTACAGCACACTGGCTTTCATACGGCTGCTGTTGAACAAAATTTATTTATTTTTATTTATTACTTTCAACTTGTATCCCGCCTATGCCGGGGCAAATTGGCTCAGGCCTATGCGAGTCATGCAAGTCATGTAAGTATCAAGTCCTCCAGTGGTTGCTGCCAAGCTTGTTCCCAATGGGTCCTCTCTCAAAGGCCAAAACAGGCCCAGAAAAGGCCGTCCCCTCCACATCTTTTAGGGAAGGAAGCCAAGGCCAGAATGCTGTGGTTGCCCAACCTCCAGATTTAACTATCCTCAGATTTTGCCAACTTGGCTATTAGATTATATGAGGGGGGGGGGGGGGGGAGATCTCTTTCAACTTACCTCTTAACTTCCCACCCTCACTGGGGCGAGTGTTGCTCCCAGCTGCACACCCCAACTGCCTACAGGCCCAACAGGTCTCCATAACTAGGTACAATGCAACTTCTCCTCCCTTCACCGTGGCTCCCAGCAACTCCCACATCCACCATTACTTGCACCAGTGACAAGCCTGATTGCCACCCAGCCTTGCTGCCAGTTTCTTTCCCCCCTCTCATTACCACTCTTGTTCCCAGGGCTGCCATGACTCCCGCTACACACCACTGCTGACAACACCAGCGGGCCCAGAAAAGTCTCACACGGGGCAGGTTGGAAGCCCAGTGTGGCCCATGGCTTTGCTGCCAGCCCACTGCAGTTCCCCCGCATTGCAATGGCCACCACAGCTGCCGAGCACCTGCAATCACTGCCATGGATGCCTGTAGGAGGTATGTGGGTTTGTTTGTGCATGTGCAGACAACTCTCATTGGGGAATTTAAATCCCCAATGTATTTTAAGATTTCAGATTTTTTCTGCAAACCTGTGGGGGTCCCTCAAGTTTGCAGGAAAATCTGTTTAGTGTCAGTGTGGCTCCAATCCACAGATTCAGCTATCCACAGATGGGGACCAGATTTCAGTATCAAATATATAAATGAAGATGGAAAATTTTAGCTATACATGTATATGTGTTTCTAGGTTCTGAATTGTTTACCATTTACATTGCTAAAGAGTATTAGAGGTAGTAAGATATGGAAAGA